TCCAAGATAAATTAAACATATCTTAAACAGGATTCGATTCTTAGTCTGAATTCATATGCAAAGAGATGCATTCAATCACACGATTATCTATCTAGATTGCACACATCATAAATATTATTCTTAACACCTATTGTCCGTTTGTTAAATATACAATATTTTAACATAACACTACAATGAGCAGCTAATTGTCTAAATGATGATTAAGAATTCAAATAATAAAATAAGCATGCACAAGTGATCAAGAACAAAAAACTTCACTAAAATAATTAATCAATTAATTAAAAAGGGGAATCAATAGGTTTCATCATTTATCCAATACTCAAGAAGTTTAGCCTAGCATTATTATATTAAAATTACACAAAAATATATGAAAAGGCATAACTCGAAACAAAGAAAGAGATGTAGAACTCAAAAACTTGATTTCTTGCACTTCAATCTTCAATGTGAACTTTGTACTTGCAATTCTCGTTATAAATTCACTCTTTGCCTCTTGCTAGACTCAAAAGCTACGATAAAACAAGCCTTTTATTTTCTTGACCTCCCTTGGGTTATAAAGTATGTCAAAGATATTATCTCAAAACTTGTCGAATCAAGATAAGGAAACAAAATTTTCTTCCCAGATTTCTTGAAGGCGCGTTCCTAGCATAGTGTGAGGTGCACACCTCTAAGTTGCCTGCATAAGTTTGCCTGAAAATTTGTACCGACTGCCTAGTTACATTCCAAGGAGTCATCACTATTTTTGACATATTTTTCTCTCCCGATGTCTAATTGAAGGGATTCAATGTACGTTAAAACGCTAATTCAAAGGAGTACAATTTTTTAGAATATTGAAGGGATTCAATGTACGTTAAAACGCTAATTCAAAGGAGTACAATTTTTTAGAATATCATTATTTGAGTTCGAACATTTTCTATGCCAAAAATGGGTTAATCTGAAGCTGAAATTTCGAAGCATAACTTTTTCGACTGGAAATTGATGGATGAAAATACTTTGATTACAGTTCACCCCTTTTCCTTTTTTTTTCATCCAATTGATCCCTAGCACTCTTGAATTTTCATTGTGAGGTTCAACATAATTTTTGAGTATTTGCACTTTGTTTCCCGAACTCTCTTACAATTGAGCCACTTTTCACAATTTTTCTCCAATTTCATCATTTATATCAAATTGTACCTAACAAACACAATATACATGAAATTAAACCATAATTCATCATAATAACTAGTAAATACTCTAACTTAAAGGTCCAAATAAGTGTATAAAATACAATTATCAATATCTACGTTATTATTTTTATGAACTCAAACTCGAATGATCTATATATTTTGAAGTGCTTAATTGTTAATTAAGCTGCGTCAATCATGGCGTGGATCTAGCCATACCAACTTTTGTGAGGGACCCATTGCTTGGATTCCGTTAGACTCATCCATTTACTGTCCCCCTTTTTTAATTTTTACTCCATAATATAGTTGACGTAAGTTTCTACCCTAATTAATATGTTATAATGTCAAACTCTATAGGATTTCCTGTCGGCCAAATTCTGATAATTTTAAAGAGAAATTTAACCTTTTGTTTTCGACTAAAAAATTTATATTAACTTCCTCGTCTAAACAGTATTAAATTTATAAAATAATAAATTCATATATTGATTCATATAAACAAAAAAAAAATGTTTTATAAAATTTGACTAATGTTATATGAACTTCATTATTATCGTATGATATCTAAAGAAATTAAAAAAAAATATTTTTTGCGTGCAAGACTTTATTTTTAGAAGCGTCGCTTATGTATCATTTTTCATAAAAATGGTGAATTTAAATTCGCCTAATAGCTTTGCATGTCCAGAGAAAAACGTTTCACCTAATAATTTAATTTTTGAACTTAAAACAAAACATTATTACAACTTTTTGACAAACAACGCGTTCAAACCTATATCGTGAATTTGAGGTTGCATTTTTAATGATGAAATTTCATTTGTTCCCCTTTCTTTCGTGTGATTTCATTTTCATTATGTTACCTCAATTCTATAATACTTTTTCTTCGAGTTTGATTACAAGACTCGTTAATTTTACNTCGTGTGATTTCATTTTCATTATGTTACCTCAATTCTATAATACTTTTTCTTCGAGTTTGATTACAAGACTCGTTAATTTTACTAATGGTCACTGAAGTATATTTGAAATTTTATGAATGATCGTTAAAATATTTTTCTTATTTTTATTGTCATTAAAGTCAATAATGATTTCATTGATGGTCACTCGACTAATAAAAGTAAAGGGAAATTGTAACAATTTTTTTGCAAATATATCTAAAAATTCAAGTCTTGACGTCACATTCCTTAAATTTTCATTAATATAATAGAAGAGGTATTTGTAGATGCAATCTATCTAATCTACATTATATTAAATATCACGTCAATTCAGAATCATTTTTTGGATGATTTTAACCTTACTACAATTTAATTATTTTAATAATACCTCGCTTTTTGTTTTTCAATATGTATTAAATACTACAAAATACCTATTATTAATTCTTAATTAATTAACATTCGCATTAATCTAGACTCAATAAATTTTGACTTTATGAATCTTGATTTATATGTATCTAGAGTTATTATAGATAAATTGATTTCTGTTCGTGTATTTAGGAATTTTAATGGGTGTTTAAATTCATGTATTAGCAAATGATTTTTATGTACCAAATACAGTATAAAATATAGTTCATTATAGTATTTGATCACCACAAAAAATTTGAATCATAGAAAGTTAAGTATTGAAAGTGCAATTTTCTTCTCTTAAATTTTTATTCTAAATTTTATTTTCTTTAGCTCGTTTGAGACTCATCGAATCTTTCGAACAAATTGGTATTAAATATTACTTTTACCGCACTTATAAATTGACTTAAAATCATACGTTCAACTCTGACTATTTTGACGTTAAATAGGCATTGAAATGAGTTTGTAAGTCTCCTGTGAACCCAAAGGGTCCACAGGATTAGTAGGGGTGGGATATTGGAGAAGGCAAAGAGTTTTCTTTGTTATTAAATTTTATCTATTTACTTTTCTTGTTTTAAATAAAATCAAGTATTGATTTGTTGGCCATTTACAAAGTTAGACTTGTGCACTACACATGGCAATTTGACTTTTATTAGAAGGATTTAATCTTCAAGGACCTAGTTTGTTACTTCAATAGAAGGTTAGCACATTTCATAAAGGTTAGAGGCATCAGTGGAATTTTCTCTGAAAGTAACGTAAATATGAGTGATCAATTGTGAAATCAAGTCAACATCAGTAAAACTATTATTAACTTTAGTGAATATATGATTAAAATAATACTTCAATAATCAATCCGAAATTTAAATTTCACACGTACTTCATTGACCATTAGAGAAATTAAGAGCCTGTTTGAGCCACATTATAACGAAAATGAGAATAAGAAATAGAGCCGTTATTGACCCCACACCAGATATAGAAATTCAAAAATGGTGGCTTGATGTGATGGATAACTGTCATATTTTTCATTTTAATGAGATAAAAATGTGGCTCAAACAAAGGTTAACACTTATTATGACACAATTTAGTTCAAGAGTGCTTTCGAGGTTAAGAAGAAAAATGCATTTTACTCTAAAACAATTGCTGAAACTTTTAGCACTCGAATGAGCAAATTTATCTTAATGACGTCATGAAAACTCATCGATACCCTGTTTCACAATTATTCTTTCAAAACTCTCTATTTTTCATATTCATTTTTTACCACAAATTTTCACAATAAAATATTTTTCAAGTAAACTCAAAATTTTTCCTACTTTTTAACATAACATTTTTTAAAAAATTACTCTTTCATAGCTCATTCTTCCCCTAAATTCAAAAGAATGGCTGTCAAACAGGGCTAACCATCAGTTTCACTTTATTTAGCCCCTGTTTGGTTTTGATAAAAATAAATAAATTTTTAGTAGATTTTGATAGAAATTGATAAAATGTAAGGTTGCAAAGTTGATACAATTGGTAAATCCTATTAAATGTGTAGTTAAAATGAGTTTGAGAAATTATCTGTCTTTCTTTTTTTTTTTTTTGGTCATTATCCAATGGATTGTTGCCATGTGTCTTCTGATGAAATTTTGACAGCCATTTCTGTACATACAACAGATCTAAAGAATAATTATATGATTTTGATAAAGAAATGAATGTAAGAAACTAATTTATAAAGTTCAAGTTAAAGAGTTTTTGTCCCGATCGACTATAAAAACAACACTTCAACTTAAAGATTCTTTTAAAATAGGCAAATGACGTTTCACAAAACTTTCTAGACGTCATTTTTTCGTTCCTATTAATTAAGAATAGGGACCTATTGCTACCTATGGCTAATGCTCTCCTCTCTCTCTCCAATAAAATTGGGAACATAAAACTACAAGAGGATGCAATAAAATTCCACAAAATAGACATAATGTATACATGCAAGTCATGAAGTAGAATCATGGAATTCTTCCTATCCACTAGATTGTGACATAAAAAATAAAAAATAAATTAATGAAACATTTAATGCTTTACAGAGTTTTGTCTGCCCGCCACCAATGTAGCTAAGGTTTGACATATAATATTTTAACATCTATTAATAGGCATCTTTAATAAAGTCGACTAAGTTAAATTAGTTTATTCTAACGTGATAATATTAAGGCCCGTTCGATTCTCATTATTTGGCTCATAAAAATGAAAAATATGATCGTTATCCTTTACATCAATTCGTCAATTTGACTTTCTATCTTTTTGTGTGAATCTCGTAACAACTATATTTTTCCTTCTCATTCTTACAAGAATGAGTACCAAGCAGTACATAAATCGAACAATCAATCTAAATACTAGTCATTTAGGGCTATGGTAGTCACTTTCAAGAAACCCCACATTGGAAAAATGTAGAATAAAGACAAAAAAACAAAGAAAATGATACCCATGGTCTTATCAAATGTCTAATGAAACATTATTAAAAAAAAGAATAGAGGGCAAATCCGTACATGTCCTACACAAACCACGCCCTCTATAAATTTCTTCTATCCCAAAAACCCACCAGTTCACACACACAAATTCATGGGGAGTGGTGACTGAAAATCAATACAAGAATGACAGGATTGTGCATGAATGGAGCTGCGATCCGTTTTAGTGCTCGTGCTCGTGTTCGTGTCCGTTCGCCCTCTGTGCAGTATAAGAAGAGGGCGAGTTTCATAGAGGGTCGAGAGAAATCCGATGCTTCAAGTGAAGTCAATGAACTGAATTTCAACAATAATTTGTCGAAATCAGAATTTGAATGTGGGAATAGAGTGATGGTAGTGGTCGATTCGAGCCCGGAAGCTAAAAGTGCTCTAGAATGGGCACTCTCTCATACTGTTCAAGCAAAGGATTCAATTATACTCTTGCATGTTACCAAAAAAGGTAATTTGTTTATTTTTGCATTATTTTCTTGATCGGGAAAAATGCCGAGAAATTTTAGTCATGGTTCCCAAATTACCCCTCGGAGACCGACCTAGTGCTCCGGTCGAGGGGCGTAGTTTTGGAGATCGTGACAGCAAATTCTTTTATTACATGATGAAAATTTGTTTTACAGATGAAAATTATCGTGGAGATATAAATCAAAGGGCATATGAACTTCTTCATTCTATGAAAAATATATGTCAATTAAGAAAACCAGAGGTGAGTAAATTATATACTTCAGTTCAAATATTCTTCATTGTATGACAAATATATGTCGGTCTAATATTAATTTTGTCTTATTTCTTTTGATAAAATGTAAAACGAGCTGTTGGGTGATATTGGATCTTTCTCACCCCAAAAGCTAGTTCAAGAGGTAAGGTTTTCCATCAAACTTATAAGTTGAATGCCAACCTCATCCACAATCGATGTGAGATAACTTCAACAATCTCCTCCTCACACATCGGTTTTGCGGGAGACCAAACACGTCTCCCAATCGGGCCTTGCAGGAGACCAAACCCGTCTTCTCCTCACTCAAACTCGTATCTTCATGACTGTTGGGCCGAAGATTTGTTGATAAATCGGGCTCTGATACCAGTGTTAGATGGTATCAGGTTTCTTTTACCCAAAAAGTTAGCTCAAAATGTAAGACTCTTCCTCAAACTTTTAAACTAAATATCAGCCTCATGCACAACCGATGTGGAACAACCTCAACACATGCTAGGTCGCCTTTTGGATAAGACAACAACAGATTTTATTAATATTTTTTGTATGAATGTCTTTTCAAAATAATCTTTTGCACAAGTTATTTTTCAGTCGTTACACAATCAAAAGCTGAGTCTCATCCTCATGATTTAATTTATGCTATGATGAATTAGGTGAACGTGGAGATGGTGTTTCGAGAAGGCAAGGAAAAGGGAGAAATTATAGTCGAAGAAGCTAAGCATAGACGGGTTTTACTACTAGTTTTGGGACAGCGAAAACGCACGATAATTTGGAGATTACGTAGATTTTGGTCGACCAGATTAAGGAAGAAAAATAGGGTCGTGGATTACTGCATTCAAAATGCTAATTGCATGACAATTGCAGTGAGAAAGAAGAACAAGAAATATGGAGGATATTTGATTACTACTAGAAGTCACAAAAATTTCTGGCTTTTGGCTTAATTTTTCACTTCCCTTTTTCAAAAAAATAAAAATAATAATAATAATAATAAAATGTTATAATGGAATTATGAATGTGGATGTAAAAAGTATGCATGTAATTTCAAATTTTCATAATTGTGCCTAATCTGTTGGGGTTGGGAGGAAATTTAATTTTAATGCTTAAACAAGGACTATATCGAAGTTATAGTAATCTTAATACAAAATCACCTTTTGGAGAATTATGAGCACAAAAGTTGAGAGACAAGAATCTTGAAATTCATTTCGATAAAATGCAACATTGAATTCCTTTCCTATAGTATTGTACGTGATTGTTCGTCTAACATTTACAAAGTATTGTGTTGTTTCGTCATTCGTGTCGTGTTCATTGGACGAGATGAACAATGTGAGTGAGTATTTCAATTTCACACTTATTAGGTCATGCGTGAGGTCATTCCCTTTCTATAAAACTTGAGGGGGTCCAAACCCTTTACAAAATTATTTGTGTTAGCTTTCATTATTGAAAATTTGAAGCAAATCATAATGAAAGTAACAATTAATGCTTTTTAATACTCTTTTACGGACTCTCACCTATCAACATAACAATCTGTAGGTCCACTATTAAGAAGACAATTATTGCCCTAATAATTTTGGGTGACAAATAGAGAGAGGAACGATAGTAAAATAGAAATGTGCCGTTGTGATTTAAATAAATAAATAAATAAATAAAATCTATGAGAAAGTAGAGTGTGAAAACCATTATATGTCCAGTTTAGTGTTATTTGTTTTCATAATTATGTCTTAATTTTAATTTTTTTTTTGGCAGCATTTTTTTTTTTTTTTTACCAAATTTTATAACAGTTTGTTATAATTTAAAATATTATATTACACATATTTCACCACATGTCTTCACCACCACTATCACTTGTATCTTGATGGGTTAAACATTTTTTCCCATATAATTTCATCATTATCGCAGATATTGCTGCTAGCATTCATTGTTACACAAACAACGCCACCACCACTACTTATAATATTTATTTTCACACTATCATCTTTTCCACTAATGTCATCTTCACCACCACCTATAAAATCTATGTATACCGCCAGCCGTCACTATCAATACCATTACTATCATCAACGTCGATCTCCACTGTCACCATCGCCAACATCAAATTGACCAAGTCTACATCACAATCCATCAACAACCATCATCATTATCCCCAAGACGTACCAAAATAAAACCTCATACTCACGCTATCTTATCACCATCATAATTATCCCCAAGACGTACCAAAACAAACTTCATCACCCAAGCCATCTTATCATCATCACAAAAACATTAAAAAAAACCATCATAACTATACAAAACACCACAAAAACCGACAGTCCACCATCAGCGAACTGAACGACCACAAGTTGGTTAGAACATTTCAAACACCTCAGCATAAACACCAAATTTAAAAATCAAAATCTGAATTTTTAAATCAGTGGTCTCAATCTTTAAATCAGTAATGATGTTAATTTGTATAAACTTACATGATTTAATCTACATTACATAAAACATGTGGATAGTGAGAAACATTCGACTTCTCGTTTCATATTCACATTTATTAGTTTATGGTTAAAAATACTTTTAACATTTAATTTATTTCCAACAAATAATTACGGTCAACATTTTAATGAATAAAACATTCAAATTGCAAAAATTCTGAAATGTTGGGTTTTATATCCATCACAGATTTACGAGCATTATTATATACAAGTTACACACAGCAAATAAAATTTCCCGTAAACTCAATTTTAATTACTAATATTATTGCTTTAAAAAAATATTAATATTATATACATAATGTTAACATTTGCATTTTTATATAATGGACATATTTTTCAGAATTTGTATTGCAAATGAATGTAAACAATATAAATCAATAACGGTCGCTTAACATTTTCATATAAATGTTCACATTTTTAACAAATTGATTATCTTTATAATTCACTATTGTTTCCTCAAATTTCAAATACACAATTCCATTCAGCAGTTAGTTCTCCTCCCACTTTATATTATTTTAACACTAATTATACTCTATTAATGTTAAGAAAACTTAGAAAATACACCATGTTATATGATGTGATTACATTTAATAGTAAAATTTGATAAATGTTAATGAAATGTATGGTTAAAATTAATTATTGACTTTGATTTAAAATTTTATCAATTTTTAAAACTACATCAAAAAGTGATTGTATAACATTTTGGAGTTAAATGTTTCATTAGCCACTGAACTTTACACCTCGTCACGATTTACCCGCTGAACTTAATGAAGCTTCCCAATGGCCACTGAACTTAACTCCGTTGCACTAAATTGACCACCGGATGGATTCCGTCTGTGGTTGTGTCTACGTGGAGGATGAAAAAGTGACGTGGCAGTTAAAATTCTCCACATGTTAACAAATTTGCTTGCTTAGATGCCAAATAGCCAAACAAAGTCTTACCCATATGAAATTCAAAAAAGCTTTTGTAAATTAACTCCAAAACCACTCCCGTCGCCATGCCAAACTAGAAACCAAATCCAAAGGTAACTCGCCACCTTCTTCCACGGCCACCTCGCCGCCGTCGACGGCAGCAGCAACCTTCCCGACCCTAAAAAAAATGAAAAGAGCAGGGTTCGTGAAAATAAAAATCTCCAACATTTAAATAATCAACCAAAGTCATAAATGAAATTAACTGATTAGGAAAAGCAAAAAATTACCGTTAAATGGTCTTTCATTTTGGAGCAATTGAAGGAGATAGAATGCAGAATATGTCATTAAGAGTTATGATTTTCCTCTCTGCTCCTCCCTCTCTCCCCCCCTATAATTATTTGTCATTTATTGGTGTTTGTGTAAAAGGGTTACTGGAGATAGAGAGTGTTTTTCTATAGGAAAAGTAGAACACATAAAACAAAATTTGTGTAAAAGGGTTTTTGAATAAAACATAACCGCATCGACGCCGGTAAGGTAGCTGTGGATTTGGTTTTGGGTTTTGGGGTGGGGTGGGCGTGGGGGTGGGGGGGGATGGGGATGGGAGAGGGATTTTGGAGTTGATTTGCAAAAGTATTTTTTAATTTCGCATGTGTAAAATTTTGTTTGCTGATTTGGCGTCCATGTGGAGAATTTTAACTACCACGTCACTTTTCCATCCTCCACGTAGAATCAACCATAGACGGAATCCGTCCAGTGGTCAATTTAGTGCAACAGAGTTAAGTTCAGTGGCCATTGGGAAGCTTCGTTAAATTCAGTAACTAAACCATGACAAGGTGTAAAGTTCGGTGGCTAATGAAACATTTAACTCAACATTTTGCCTGCTATATTTCTAAGTATTGATTTTTTATTAAATATTATTTTTTCTCTAATTGATATATTTAAAGATTTATAAAAAAATTTATCTTCTATTCCTAACTTCTAGCATAGAAATAAATAAAAATTCTTAATTGTTATCTTATAATAAAAAAAAAAGGGTTAATTTCACAAACGGTCACTGAACTTATGAAAAAATTAACGGTCACTAAAGTTTAAAACTTTCAGTAACGATCACTTAAGTTTCGGGGCACTTTCAAAAATGATCACTAAAGTTTAACAACTTTCAGAAACGGCCAATGAAGTTCAAAAACACTTTTTCAGTTTTTTGGGCAACTTTTTGGTCACTTTCGACCACCGATACCGTCGAATATTGATATCGTTAGAAAGCCCATATGTCCTCTTCAATTAAGACCCAAAATCTTCCCGTAAGTCCAAGTGATTCGACCTGAAAATCGCCACAAAAGTAGCCCAAAAAATCTGAAAATTTGGATGGCTTTTGTGGCGACTTTTGACCTCCAAGACCGTCAAATTTTGATACCGTTGAAAAGCCCACAATGTCCTCTTCAATTACCATATAAAATCTCTCCCAAACTCCATAAGATTCGGCCGAAATAAATATACAAAGTCGACTATCCAAAAAGGCGAAAATCTATCCAGATTCAGGATGCTGACTTTGTGGTTTTATTCTCGCCAAATAATTTGGAGTTGTGGGGAGTTTTGGGTGATAATTGAAGAGAAGATTGTGGGCTTTTCAACAGTATCAAAATTCAACGATCTTGATGGTCGGAAGTTACTACAAAAGTCACCCAAAAAACTGAAAATTCTGCCCAGATTTTCACTTTTTTGAGTAGCCAACTTTGTGGGTTTATTCCGAATTCTTTGGAGTTTGGGGAGATTTTTAGTGGTAATTGAAGAGAACATTGTGAGCTTTCCAATGGTATCAAAATCCGACAGTATTGATGGTTGGAAGATACCGAAAAGTTGCCTCAAAAGTAGCTCAAAAAATTTGAAAAATCTACCCGGCTTTTTGCCTTTTGGGTAGCCGACTTTGTAAGTTTATTCCGACCAAATTCTTTGGAGTTTGGGGAAAATTTTGGATAGAATTGAAGAGAACATTGTGGACTTTCCAATAGTTTCAAAATCCGGCGGTCTTGGTGGTCGGAAGTCGTCGAAAAATCGCCAAAAAAAACTGAAAATCTAGGCCAGGTTTCAAATTTTTTGGGCGAATATTGCGGCAATTATCGAGTCGAATCCCTTGGAGTTATGGGGTGATTTTGAGTCGTAATTAAAGAGAACATTGTGGACTTTCTAATGGTATTAAAATTCAACGGTATTGGTGGTCGAAAATGGCCGAAAAGTTGTCGCAAAAGTAGTCCAAAAACTGAAAAAAAGTGTTTTTAAATTTCAGTGATCATTTCTGAAAGTTTTTAAACTTCAGTGATCATTTTTTAAAGCGCCCCAAAACTTAAGTGAACGTTACTAAAATTTTTAAACTTCAGTGACCGTTTTGTAATTTTCGCTTAAGTTACCGTTTGTGAAATTGACCCATAAAAAAAAAAAACCTTGTTTGACGAATAAAAATTAAAAAGAATAAATTAAAATATTTTTTTATATTAGAGGTTATTATGTAGCTAAAAACTTTTCTTATTCATTCTAAGTTGCTATAATTTCTAAACTTGAAATATTGTTCAAAATGCAAAAGCGTAATTATATTGGTATCTATTCACTACAAAAATATATGGTTTCGGGCACAGTTGTCCGTTCCTGAAACCACGATATATGTTACTATTACTTTTTACCAATGGAATATTAGCAACCACAAATAGGTTGTTAATTTGGAGGGTCGCTGATAGTTGTCAACGAATTGTGCCGTAGGTAAAAAGTAAATCTTTTACCAACGAATTTTCTGTTGATAAAGAGTAAATATTTTACAAATGAAATTTTCGTTGATAAAAATCTTAACCATTACTAAC